TTTTTTTTTAAGAAATAGGCTATACAATCAAGTAGAGAGATGCAGTAAAAAATGTTGTAACGGTAACTTGTTACAGTTTGGTTTGAATGTCAGATAAGACAATATTGCGTAACCTGAGGCGACAGATTTTTTTCACCTCTTCAATCGCGCGCTCTCGTTCCACTGCGCGGTCATTCTTCAAGCGTTCAGACAGCTGGCCCACAATATCTGCTTTTTTGTTGAGACGGGCACAGATGACAAAAGGGAAGCCAAAGCGTTCCTTGTACTCCGAGTTTAGACGGTACATTTGCAGAACCTCTGCGGAGTCCAGTGTGGTCATACCGGCTTGACTCTGCTCTTCTTGAGACTCGCGTGTGAGCGTCCCGCTCTGGAGGTCCCGGCCCGCCAAATCAGGGTGACACCGCAAAATACCCTCTTTACCTGAACACATTCAATGTACTTAACCAGTAAATAAATTGTTTAAAACTTAAGGAAACCTGATTTGGATAAATAGACAAAGCAGAAGAAATCACCTGAGTCTGGTAGACTGAGAATGAATTCCGTTATGTGAGCCTCGATGTCTGCTAGATCTTTGAATGGCCGGTGGGACCATATTGCAGCCGAAATGAGGGGGCATTTCTCAACCACATTACCGAATAGTTTCACAAAATCCTCGTATGTTAGAGCATTTACAACGTTTATGTCCATGGCTCCGGCGCGTGTCCTCTGCAAACTATAGGGAAATGGCAAAAGCCAATATTGGACGAGGTCAACGTCCATTGGGGCAACTACTGTTCCCATTTAAATATCAGTAGTTGTCTCAGTGTGACGCACTAAGGAGGATGAATATCCTCATTACACAATACAGGTATGATTATTGGGGTTTATATATCCTATTTACATTTATTCCATGGTCTGTCTTGAATATTGGATTCCGATTGGCTGGCAGGTATGCAGTAAAACCATTTAATGCACATGTAGTTCAGTTCAATTTTACTGTTCCATATTAATGCGCTGCTTTAATTGATGCACACAAATGGAGCGAATTTTGTGACAATATTAATAAAACAAATCCAGCGTTTTGCAAATAAACACAATTTGCTTTGCAAATAAAAACTC